GTCATTCTCCGTCTTTTATCCTGGTAGCACTTTACTTCAGGGCCACATTACTTCCTTGACATGCAGATACACAGAATGTACCAAGGGACAATCACATCTTGTGCAGGGTCTTCCTCCAAATCCAAAAGTGTGCAGAGGGAACACCAGCATGCCATTAAGCAGCCAAAAGCACATGCTCCAAAGAGTCTAGAATGGATAGCTAACATTCTGTTTGACCATTCACAGATAATGCCATGAGCTACAATTGAAGTGCAAAAGCTCGGTCTCCAAGAATAAGGGGTTAAATAAAGAAACTACTTAACATAGCAGAGGGACTGGTGAAGAATCTGCCTGTGTCTAATTTGTCTACTAAAGGTGAGTTTCAGAAGATAGCCATGTCATGGCTTCTTCCTGAAACCCTTAAATAAATGTCCCTAAACCTCCTGTTAGAGCCCACAAGTGACTGGAGGACTACACTTTGAAAGCCCTCACCACCTGAGGAAGCCCCAATTCATGGAAGTTCTGCGTTCTTTTGCTTTCTTCCTCCCACCCTTATGATGTCAGCAAGGTAGAACTCATTCTGCCTGAACTCAACCTATTGTGTTCAGGCTGCAGTGGGCAGGTTTTGGTTCATAGAACAAATTCAGCATTCATTCTGCTAAAAAGTACTTGCAGATGAGCAGGGCCCACTTGCCAAAAAGTTGACCTATTGTTATAGTTCAAAAATGGGAGATTACTGTGGGGTACATTGAGTGAAAAGAGAAGAAGAAGAAAGATTGAAGAAGCAGAAACTGTTTTAAGCATGTGAGCAGTACTTGTGATACAAGCTCCACATTGGGATGGTTAAACTTGGAGTTCTGGCTTGATCAGGGGTGTTACCCTTGATTGTCTTCTTATCCTCTTCCAACTAACCTTTTCAGAGGTTACTTATAGAAAGGGGAATTTCTGTAGCAGAAGCCATTTTGAAGTATTATATCAGAGACCCAGCTGCCTTCTGCTGTTACCTAGCAAGATTAAGTAAAGAGAGAGTCTCTAGGCAGCAGAACAATTTATTTCTGTCATAAAGATAAATGCAGGCTGTTCTGATTCTTCTGCAACCAAATCTACTTAAGAAGTTGATTTGGTTTCCTGTCAGCCTTGTGTTCAGTTTATGCTTACTTGCTGAGCAGTGATAAAGTTAAGGGTATTCAACCATTTCTTATCCAGGGCAGGAGGCCTTCCTTTGGCTTTTTAATCTTTAATACCTGTTTGACATAGCTGTTATTATTGCTATGTATGCTTCTTTTAAATTTTATCATTTTGTGTATTTTCACAATCACTCAATATAGGTCATATGTATTTAATAGTTGATCTGTAATTTATGAGTATGTAAATAGAGAGAAAAGGAGATGAAAAGTTAATTTATACATGTTTTTATAGACTGCCTATAACTGCCGAGGACTTCCTAGGCGACTTATAGTACATAAACATATTAAAACAAAATAAAACACATAAAAACCTATTAAAACACAACGGATTAAAACATCTATAAAAGCAATTTTTAAAAAAGGGCCACAGCATTCAGGGCTAAGTGTTAAAAATGTCCTTAAAAGGTATGTCTTTGCCTGGCACTGAAAGGAAAATAAAGACATTGCTAGGTGAATTTTCCTAGGGAGAGAGTTCCAAAGATGGAGAGCAGCAGCAGAAAATGCTCTTCGCCTAGTGGCTACACCTCTCCTTAATAAAACAGATAATTCTTTTAAAAATAGCCTTTTGCGCATTATATTGGCACACAAACTGGGAGCATAACTTTTTATCTAACCCTTTTCCTGTTTATTTGCAAGTTGTGAGGGTTGTTATATTTTATGGAATGATCTTTTTTTTGCATGTGAGAGGTGGGCACCATTTGGTTTATTTGATTTTCATTTATTTCATTTTCTGTTTCCAAGCCTTTTTTCATTTCATTCAATGTGGTATTGTACAGCATAATAAATATTAGTTGAACCTCTGAGGATAGTTATGCAATGGAATAGATTAGAATAAAGACATATGTTCTACAATTCTAGGCATTTATAGCAGAACTGCATTTGATTTGATTACTTGTTGATTTCTCCATTTCTGATAAGCCAAATTAAAACTTGTAAGATTGAAATCTTGGCAATTTCAGACCATTCTCCAGTTTGTTTGGTGTTTCAATTTTCAGATTTGCCTCAACTGCTGGATTTTGTCACTTTGATGTTTCTCTTTTTAATGTTAAATAATCAGATGTTTGTTAGCTTCTTTGTTCCAAAACTGCTTAGTTTGCTCACTTTCTGTATTGTTACATGACACCTATATTATGATAACTTACAAACTGAGCAAGGATCATACTTACTGGAGAAATTCATATATATATATATATATATATATATATATATATATATTAAAATTTTTAAACTAAGACTAAAAAAACATCAACCATCACAAACATTAACATGGATTCACTGGGTCAACCTCCTACTACATATTTTTTAACATTCTAATATCAAATTCCAGTTAATCATAGTTTGAAAAACATCTCTAAATTTACGCCAAGTCCCGTTTCTCCAGCCAATTATAAAAAGAGTCCCAAGTTTGATAGAAATCAGTATCCTCTTTCTCCTTCAACGATAAAGTCAGTCTATCCATTTCTGCACAGTCCAAGATCTTTCTACTTACTGGAGAAATTCTTGTTAATTTAAATCAATATTAATGTATTGACTGGAATTTGGCCAGCATTGGACTACTATTGTTTCTTTGGATGCTGAAAAAGCTTTTGACAAAATGTATTAGACATTTATTTTTGTGACATTGATACATTTTTTGCTTCCTGTTAAATTTTAGAAATGCATTGAAAGGTTTTATTCAACCCCAATAGCTAAAGTGATGAACTGTGGGTTCTTCTCAGCCCTCTTTCCACTTGGAAGAGGGACGAGACAGAGATGCCTGCTTTTTCCATTGATATTTGACTGTTTGGACAGAATGTCAGTATTCATGACTTTATTCATAATTGTTTAGAATCCAAAAATACCCTTTATTCAAATATTTATTACTGTTTATTTCACAACTCCAAGTGTCAATTCCTACTGTGATACATTTGATTAATGCTTGTGACAAACTGGCTGTTCAAAGCCAAAATAGATACCAATTGGAGATACTCTTTCATACAGCCAATCGGCAAGTTCAGTGGTGAACAGAGATTATAATTTACTTGGGACTATTAATGCCTAGAAATACATAACAAATGATTGGGTTAAATTTGAATATGCTGCTTAATGAAATATCAGAGCATAGGTTGATGAGTATCTTTGAGATTCAGTGTGTAGGTAAGGTTAATACACTGAAGATGACTATCATACTCAGGAGTGTTTACATGTTTTGTGGGATTACTTTATATATAGATATTATTTTTTTATGTAACTTACTGTTTTGTTAATTTTTCTGGGTTTGCTCAGTGTCAGCAGTATATTTGAAAAGGATGTGACTTTCTATTAAGGAAGTTAGATTTGGCTTTCCAGACTTGATATATCTATCATCCAGCATATTTACTAACCTGTACTAAATTTTAATCTTTTCCACTCAGGATAATTTTACTCCATGGTCATTTTTTGAATCCTGTAGTCTGGATCCTCTTTTTAAATAGATGACATTTGGTTCTGGGCATAGTAAAATGGATAGGGTTTCTCCTCCTTCTAAGGGATGAGATGTGTGGTGAATAGCATACCAGTTACAGGTTTTTTTTCCTAGTCTTGCATGCTAATTGGCCAAATCCAGATTTCAAAATCAGTTTAAAAATGTGCTATACTTGGCTCGACAAGTTGATTTTTGCTTTGGATCACCTAGTGAGATAAGAGGAAGAATTCTTGTCATGTTTTATTTGCCTGCCAAATACGATTTACCTGCAGTGGTGAGGTAGCAGTACACACGATTGCAACATTTGGAGGTATCTAGGTTTGATCTTACAGGTTTTATGGCTTCAGAGTCTCCTCGATATTTATTGAGGCAGATTAGTTTTATAGACCCACGAACCATGATTATAAATATTTGCTATTGGCAAATCAATCTGATACATCAGAAGAATGGAGTAGGAATTTGGAATGTCTTCCAGTTCACTTGTTAGTTTACAGTCTATAGCTGAAGTTTCAGGTGAAACATTTGGTCTAAGGAAATGGGTTTCCATGACTATCTGTAGGGAACTACACAGCCACTGAGACACATGTTGCCAGGTGTGTCAAGTAGATCCCTAGAGAATATCTAGGTCCCTAGATGAATATCTCTAGCAAAAAGCCATGAATATTTCTAGGGAAATATTCTATATCTACACAGCCACTGATGATGATGCGTCATCTAATGCATCACATAGTTCCATAGTTCCTGCAATTCATGGCTTTTTGCTAGAGATAGTCATGTAGGGTTTATGACAGTCCAGGTGTTCATAAGTATAGCTTGTTCATAACCCGAATATTTATAACCTAAGGACAACATGTTTTCTTTTTTCCTTTCAGTTTTATTCATATTGAATGTAACATCTTTGCAACATAGCATGTGTAAATGATTCAGATTGGAATGGAGTGTAGTGTTGAGAGCCAGTGTAGTATAATGGTTAACATTGCACTTGGACTCAAGAGACTTGGGTTCAATTCCCCACTTAGCCATGAGGCTCACTGGATGACTTTGGACAAGTCACTCATGGAGTTGTAAGGATAAAAGGGAGAGGCAGGTTATGTGAGCTCCCTTGGGTTCCCTGCAGGGGAAAAATAAATGATTTTGGTTTTTGTTTTAAATGGAATCTAGAGCCTGAGGTATTGGGGGGGGGGTCTGTATCTGGGGCTTTGCTTTCATTTCCATTTTGGCAGCTTCTTTAACTACATTTTAAAATCTCACACATTGCAATAGATAACACTTGCTAACCCTGATCTGCGATCTAAACATTTTTACTTGAAGACAGATTCCCTTTATTTCATTTGGTATTTTAAATATATGTGCTAAAGATGAGAGCTTTTGTCTCTCTTTTCCTTTTGCAGGTACAAATCTATGAATTGGAGGAACACAAAATTGAAACCTGGAGGGGTAAGGACACTTTACATATTGCTTAGTAAGAACGTGATCCACAAAACCTGTTGTGCAGCACTCTGTTATGCTATTGCCCTTCTTGCTCCCTTAGCCGGAGATCCCAGATATTCTGGGATCTGCTAGCTGATTGATGTGACTGTGGGAAGCTGTTTCTATTGCTCATACTTCAGAACAGCAGACACTGGGACATCTTGTTCCAGGTTGGGAATTGAGACTACTTAGCCACTTTTAGCAGTACTGGGGTAGTTGATGGGGTTTGTGGGGGGTTCAGCTACCTGCATTGGTGCTGGAAAAGGTCACATTGGTGCAGCAGTTCAGAGTTTTATGGATCACTCTCTGTAGATTTAAAGAAGCTTTCCTGGAGGAAACTTGTGTGAAAAGAAGTTTATTCTTCATCTAATTGCATGCTGAACCTGTAAAGAAGTTTTATAAGTGTGAGTGTTATTTCCACTTAATCCTTTGTTCCCTCTTAATCATTATATTCTTCTACTTTTGATGCAATGTCTCTCTCCAGTGAAAAACACAAGTCCTTGCAGTCAATGAGAAAAGATAACTGCCATGGAAAATGCTGTCTTTGGATCTGTCTCTGTTAATGAAAGTTCTTGATGTTGTTCACCTTTTTCAGCATGACAGTAATAAAAAAGAGGCACAGAATGATAAAAGTGATGAAGATGTATTCAAAGTAGATGAACAGTTAAACTTTAGAAAAGCAGAAAATGCCAACTGTATTTCTAGGAGGAAATTTCACTGAAATTTGTTGGTTGTATTTCACAAAACAAAATCTCTGAATTCTGAAGAGATTAGTACTGCTTAGATTAAGGCATACAAGAGTGTGCATTGTCTTTCCTTTCCCTCCCTCCTTAGCAGGTCATGCCTTGGGGAACGATTATTAGATGAAACTTCTAAAATGTTCAGTTATGAAGATGTGTCCTTACTGCGTGTTATGAAGCATAGAAAATGTTGGAAGTTCATTTTATGACCCATTTTAAGACAATGGTGGCTTTTGATTCTGTTTATTTCAGTAACTTGAAATACTTCTCTAAAATAATCCTGTTATAAGCTTGGCAGACTGCACTATTCATGGCGGCCATGTGCATGATTATACTGACCTCTGGTGGTCACTCTCCCAAACCTGGCCATTTTTAAAAATGCAGCTGCCTCTAGTGTCACTTTCACAAGCAGTGCTCAAGGCAAGGTAACATGGTTGAAACCAGTTCTTTTCCCTTCTTTCCTTGTGACTGTTTAACCATTTTGGCATTAAAATGTCAAGGGATGTCCATTTCCCTACAGAAGAGAGACTCATTTTTATTAAATATTAGTGGTTCTGGTGATGATGGTGCTGTGTTTGGTTTTATGAAACATTGACTTTGTTTTTTAATTATACAGAACTTTATTTACAAGAAACCTTTAAGCCTTTAGTGAATATTTCGCCAGATGCAAGGCAAGTTGTGCTTTTCTGTTTTTTACTTGTTTTGATGTAAATTGTATTAATGTATCCATATTTCTGTAAGAGACAACTTAAAACTGATGGCACCTAGGTTAAAAGTTGTTGTTAGAGCCTCATGGGAAACTTTATAGCTTCTGTTAGAGTAACTTTTTCAAAACTAAATGCCGTTTCTTGATCACACAAGAAATATTAAGTGCATGAGCACCGTGTATTTTCTTTTCTACCATTCCTGCTTCATTGTACATGTGTTGCTTTTATCTATTGATGACTTGTTAGTACAGCTTATACACAAAGCTTGTTTGGTCATCATTAACAATCCATTCTGTGTATAACCCTTTGACTCATATTGTCATATAACAAGAAAGCTTTTTGTGATGCTGTCGTCCATTAGTTTTAGTTTGCATTTGAATCGTCAGGTCACTGTAAAAAATAACATTTTCATCTCCCTTTCCCTCCAAATATCAAAATGTGTTTTCCTCTCTCTTAGCACTTTCCTACTTTGGTTTATCCATCAGGTTTTTATACAATGTTAATAATGAAGTATTTTCTAACTGTGAAATGGCTGGCTAAGGCATGATGAAAGCTATAGGGTTTTTTTCCTGTTAAAGCGTGCATAGGATTTCAGTCTTCAACAGTTTGGCCCTGTGAATCTTTCAGGAAGTGTGGCATGAAGAACTTCTTGGATATCAAAGTAAAATATACTAATAGTTGCAATAACTTTCTCTGCAGCCTTTTTGATGCTGTATATTCATTGATCAAAAACAAAATACACAGATTGCCAGTTATTGACCCTGTGAGTGGAAATGCACTTTATATACTTACCCATAAAAGAATACTCAAGTTTCTCCAGCTTTTTGTAAGTAAATTAATATTTTGTACTATTGCTTACAATAACCAAATGTTATATAACATCTGTTTATGAACAGTTATATTGACATAATCTCAGCTTCTCTTCTTTCAAAATTAATTTTGTTCATACAGAAATAGGTGTGTTGAAGAGCCAAAAGCACTCTCATTGTCTCTCTTCATGTAGATGGTAACTAATAATGTATACTTCATATTGCAGTGTGCACATCTATAGTAACTGTGCAGAAAGTGCTTTAATTAGTCGAGTTGTGCAATCAGGTATTCCCTGAAAAGGAATCCAGCTGCTTTTACAGATCCCACTTAAAAGCACCTTGTTTGTGTGAGGTATGGGGAATGACTGACATCAGGGCCACTTGAGGGAGGAAAGCACATGCCTGCCTCCACTAGTCTCCCCGTCACTCACCAGTGACCTGCTGTGTCTGCCCCCCAGATGCTGTATCTGCCCCTCTCGCCCCACCATGTCTTCTCCAGATGCCTTGTCTCCCCATGCTCCACACCTCCCCAGTCCCTACCCTGCTGCAAACCACGTCTCCCCACAACGTCTTTTTCTCATTCCCTGCTGTATCTCATACACATATTTGCATTTCCACCACTGCTGCTGTTACAGCTGCTCTCTGAAGAGCCATGTAGACTATAAGAAGTGGCCCTCATGGCCCTTCAGAGAGCCAGCCAGATCATAATGCCTAGTTCTGCTGGGGTCCTTCAGAGCCAGGTGTTGAGGGAACGGTGTCCCTGCAGGTCCGCAATATATGTGATGTCCAGTGACATCCTCTCGCATGCTTGGGTATAAGGAAAGGATCCCTCACAGCCAGGCATTTGGGCCTGTCCAGCTTTTCAAAGAGCCAAACCAGACACTTTTTGTCGCTGATGTAGCTCTGAAGAGAGACCCCATTTTCTTGATGATCTTGAGAGGATCCACAGGACAAGCCAGAGGGCAGGTTCCTGCACTAGAGAGTCCTGCTGGTTGCTGTCCCCTGTGTCATTTGCCATGGGTGGTCATGGGTAGGGGAGCTTCTCTGGAGTATCTGTTCCTGAGCTGCCATGCCAGGCAGCTGTTCTGGAGAGCCCTGGCAGCTCCACTCTCCTGCTGTAGCAAATCTCCAAAATGTCTCTCATCCAGGTGCTCACCCACTTGGATGCTCTTACCTGTCCAGCAGTGCTATAGGCACTCTCCTGATGGGCACAGAGCACATAATTTGCCATTCCTCCCACTCTTCCCTTTCATGTGGCAGGGTAGGATAAATGCTACTTTCTTCTTTGACTAAACCACAGCTTCTCTTTCATGCAAACTCAGAACAAATATCTTAGGCTCGTATGTTTCTTGTATAGATTGTGTAGCTTTACAGATGTAAAATATGCCTTCCAAACAAGTGGTCTTTGATTCTTCTAGGTGTCAGAAATGCCAAAGCCTGCCTTTATGAAGAAAAATCTGGATGAGCTTGGGATAGGAACATACCATAATATCGCCTTTATTCATCCAGACACTCCTATCATTAAAGCCTTGAATATATTTGTAGATAGAAGGATATCGGCACTACCTGTTGTGGATGAGTCAGGTGTGTATTAAAAAATAGAAATGCTATTGTATGAATAACGAGCACTTATTTTGCTCATGGTTCAGTTGTGAGTACTAAATGCTGGGAACCCAAGTATTTGAGAAAAGTCAAAGGAGAAGAAGGCTTCTTGAACATGGTCATCATTTATTCATCATTTATCTGAATTAACAACTATGCTAGCAGACTGTGGTATGGCAAAATAGTTTTCTTCCTCATTAGCTTTTAAAACTTGAAGGCACATCTGCATGTATCCTTTTTTCTATAACCAAACCCTCATCAGACCCTGTGAGAACTAGTCTTAAAAGCTTGATGCTGCTGTTTTCTGTCATGTATCAGTGTGGCAGCATTACTCTTAGAAACACTCAAAGCTGCCTTGTACTGAGTCAGACCACTGGACCATGTAGTGCAGTATTGCCAGCATTGACTGGCACTAGCTCTAGGATTTCAGGCAGGGCTTTTTCTGGCCCTGTGTAGAGATATCAGGGATCAAGCCTGGAAACGTCTGCATGCGGAGCACATGCTCTGCCAGTGAGTACTTCCGATTTGCAACAGTGACTCCTGGTAATTTTACTTTTTTATCTCTCTCACCACCTTAATACTCAGATAATGCTTAGAAGAACATGGGTTGTAGTAGGCAATTCCATTTTTTGAATAAAAAAAATGTTATCCCATGAATGACTTTTTATGCTGGAATTGTTCATGCTGAAAGCTCACTGTGTATCCTGATAAGCTGCACTAGTATCTCTCCCTGTCCTAACAACCCAATCCTGTTCTATTTATAAGCATTAATAGAATGGCAATTAAATCTGTGTATTTTACACACACTTATTTGGAAATAAATCCTATTGAACTTAAGACTTATGTCTGTGTAGTTAGACAAGGGATTGGTCTGCACATTTGTTAAAAATGTATTCGCTCACATACTGCTGAAACATCATTTTTGTAGTATTGGTGGTAAACAGTCACCAATTTCACACTGGAGTTTACAGACAATGTTAATATTGTTTCGATCTGAAGTTAGGTGGTTGTTCTTTCCAGTTTTCCCCTTTGCCTTCACTCTCTATCCCTTCCCCGGCGTGTATTGGTATTGGTACTAGTATTACTATATTCTTTCTGGGACTTCTCTTGCCATGCATAAGCTACTGTTAATGTGCCCTGAACCTTTGGGATAGGATTGAATCTAATTACAAAGTTAGTAATACTTTACACAATTATTTCTGAGATACAAAACTATAAGCTATTGAAAAGTTTTAAGCTATCAGTAAAATTAAAAACAGGAGAAAAATCCTTTAAAAACTAAACAGAGTTTTCTTTAAATCACTCTGGAAACCATGTGGAACAAAAAGGGTGTTAACACCTCACCTAAAACTAAACAAAGAAGGGCCCAATATAACCTGCTTAAGGGGAGAGTTCCACCAGAATACCTAGAGCGTGCTGCTGTAGTCTAAGCAGGAAGTGGCATGGATGGTTCTTCTTTGTGGTCTCTGTGATGCACATGTGGGTTTTATGTACCTACACAGAATAGAGTTGGTAACATTTTAGAGCTAAGCAGAGCTTCTGGCAGGAGCCACACGCCATCTTCTGCCCCAGGTATGGCTCTCACCCATGTCTCCTTTCTTTCTTTTCTGCTGCAGCTACAGACAGCAGTTTGAAATGTTCCCCTGATGGCAGTATTTATTCTAACCTCTTCTCCTTTTTCCTTTTTGCTTGCCACTGAAGCACTTTGCAGAGCTTTCTTTCTCTCTTGTGTGCTCTCTTCCCCAGCATTCATATGGAGAAAGTGGCTACCCAGCCAGCTCCTCAGTAGCCCCCAGAAGGCCAGTACTGACACTTTCATTTGTCTTTCTAGAGCAGCAGTGTGAGGTTGGCCTCTCATGGTCAGTACAAAGCATAAAAAAGCAGTTGAAACTGCTGAGGTTCCAGGAACAAAAACAAAGAAGGCAAAGATGTCTTGTCAAATCAAGTTTGATTCCAAACCAGAACACTCCCCCAGCCCCAAATCACCCACCATACTCTATCACACATGGTCTCTGAAATCTCCTGCTGCATTACCTACTGGTCCCACTACAACAGACCCCTGCCTCTCCTTGGATATCTTCATGCACAGTGCCCCTTACTCAATCCCTCCTTCCCAGCTTCCATCGACTGCTCAAGCTGTGCACACTCCAGCATTGATTAATGAACCTTCATCAGCACAAGAGAGTTACTACACTTAGTCTTCTTCCTTATCCTCACTTCTGCCGTGACTGTACTTAGTGGACAGCACAGTCAAGGATCTGAATCCCTTATGCCTGTCTGATATCATCAGACCCTATATTGAACAGATCCTGAGGATGGCCAAATGTCTCAGCCTATAGCTCAAGCTACCACCAGCTCTTCTCACTAACACCAAGTGTTTTATATGGTTCAGGCTGACATGACTTTACCGATATTGACATCATTGCTAACAACACTGATCCTTGCCTTAAAACAGTTATGAACAGAAGCCTCCACTCTCCTACCTATGTCTCCCAAAACTGAAAATCTTTTCAGAGTTTACATGCATGACTGCTTGGTCCTTTGGAATGGAATGGAATGCATGACTTCTCATTCCTGTGCCTAATTCCATCATTGTGGATGCATCTGAAACAAGGTTTAAGCATAAGACATATTGATCACCCATGGACATGAAGGGCCAAAACCTCAACACTATTGGTTGTTTAAAAAACAACAACTTTTCTATCCCTGCAGATGGCCAGTTACCAAGCTGTATGTTGGCCTACTAACAATTCCTATGGGACAAGGTGGCTCCTCTGTTCATCCACTTCCCTGAAGACACCAAGAACCTCATCATGATCTTTCAGGTTGAGGGTCACAAACTAGCAAGTCAGTAGATTAATCCTATACAGCATATTGTGGCTTGTGAATTAAAGCCTATGGCAGCAGCCATTTCCCTAAGAGGCATGCATGGCTCTGTACATCATATCTACACCAGGAGGCAAAGATGAGCATAGAAGACCTCTTTTTGATGGGGATGGATGATAGGCTTGACTGAGTCCAAAATAGCAAGGCATCAGCTTGTAAAAGGAAATAACACCCCATTCATGTATAAAACAGTTCCCTCAATCCCACTGATACTGGCATTGCCAAATAGCACAATGCCAGCAGTACAAATTGGCCTCTATCAGAACACCAAAAGAATCCTTTTACTCCTCTCTCAACTCTAGACAGATGATTAAATACTGCCCTCCTAACCATGGGAACAATGCCAACCAAAACAAGCAGAGTCTTTGACTATATCACAGAAGAACTTCTTGCCAAATTGCTCTTTCCCACAAGAGACAGACACCTTTCCTCCATGTCTGGGAGCACAGCACATCAGACAAGTGGCACCATTAATGAAGGGTATTGTATAAAATTCAGTGAATTCTTCATCGTGGCCTCTGTGCATCACACATACGGGTGCTGTGCCTGCGCAGTGCCTTTGGCTGGAAGATTGATAGCTAACGGGTTTTTTGGCGGGAAGCTCCGCTCCCCCTCCCTCCCATAGCCTATATAGAGCGGAGCGTCTGCCATTTTGTTCAGTCTTTGCGACCGCCGTTCATTGTGCCTCGTGCCGCTTTCGCTCTCGCTTTGACTGTCCCTCGCTTATCTAACCAGTCCGTTTGTTCTTCCCCAAGTTACAAACCCCTTTCGATAGTTCTTGTTGTTCTCTTGTTATTCTCTTGTTATTCCTTCATTCTCTCTCTTTTCTCTTCTAAAAAAAAAAACACCAAAAATATATTCTTACCCTCTGCACTATCTGCTCTTTTTCCTTTCTAACGATGGCGCAACGAGCGGCCTTCCGCAAGTGCGTGGAATGCAGGTCTAAAATGTCCCCTGCGGACCCGCATGACCTATGCCTCCTCTGCTTGGGGGAAGGGCATAGGACAAACAAATGCTCGCACTGCCTGGCCTTCTCAAAACAGGCCAGGAAGAATCGGGGGAACCGTCTCAGGAGACTTCTGTGGGACCGTGCACTCCTACAATCGGACCCACTAGTCTCCCACCCTGCTCCGACTGTGGCTACGGCTACCCGTCCGCCCCCGCCTGCTGTGCTGGCTTCCTCCTCCAAGGCTCCACCCTCATGCCCTTCTGATGAAGCTGTGTCTGCTCTGGGCGATCAGCCTGCTTCCACACCAAGGAAGAAAAGTGAGAAGCGGAAGCACAGCGGCTCCGATAAGCCGTCTGAGCGCAAAGAACCTAAGAAGGATAAGGCGGGAAAGCCTCCTCGGAAGCCTAAGGAGCCAGAGCGCTCTAAGCACCGAGACTCAGATTCGTCGGCCCTCTCGGTCCTGACGGTTGTCGCGGTACCTACACCACGGGGCCCGACGCGCCAGGAAGCTATGAAGGTCACGCCCCCCCCGGGTCCCCTCATCAAGTTGTGGAACCAGCATTGGAGTCCATCTATGCTCCACTTAGGGAGTCCATTTCCAACGGGGAGATTAGGGATTCCCCTCCTAGGGCTAGGTCCCCCATGCCTATGCCCTCAGCCGGACTGGATGCTGTGACGGGGATGTCTCCTCCTGGAAGCCGCAGAAGTAGATTGTCTGAGAGGAGATCTGGCGAGTGGTACCATCCTCACTCTTCTTTTCACCATGGATGAGGGGACTACCACTCCGTCGGACACTGTCTGGCCCCTAGGGGTTACTCCTCTCCTCCACCTCCTCAGGACCGTCCGACATCCTCAATCCCGAGACGTGCCTCTGCGATGCCAACCAGGGAGAGCAGCAGGTCCATGTCACCAGCGGAGTCTTCTTCCTCTGTGCCCCCATACTGTGGGGTTCATTCTGATGGCTCTGACGTGGACTCCACATCACCGGATGTCGTGACTTTCCAGAGTCCTGGGTCCCCTGATGAATCCTACATCTCCTTCGGGGAACTGATGTTGCAGCTGGTCTAGTCGTTGGAAATTGATGCCATACCACAACCTGGCCCAAGCACCGACAAATTTTATGATGTCATTTGCAGGAAACAATCGG